CCTTTAAGTAGTATGTGCAAACTAAATGGTTTGAAATACCCTCAGAATCAGATTTGTACAGGAAAGCTATGGTGAATCTCGAGTTTCAAGGTCTGAGAAGGGCCTGAGAAGTCATTCAGTCTTAGCCCAAATTTTCTAGACCAGGAAACCCAGTTCCAGAAGGGCGGACCCTGAGGCCACACAGCTCTCGGTGCTGAAACCTGACGGGGATCCGCTAACTTCCAGAGCAGGACCACTCTTTTCCCCATGTGCCCATTAACCTCATTGAAAAAATAAAATGTAATCTGTGTACATCACAAAGAGAAGTATATCAAAAAGAGAAGGTGGCTCATGCCTGTAATCCCAGCATTTTGGGGGGGGTAAGGTGGGGGGACTGCTTGAACCAAGGAGTTCAAGACCATCCTATGGAACACATCGAGACTCACCTCTATCAAAAATACAAAAACTAGCCATGCATGGTGGCATGTACCTGTAGTCCCAGGAGGCTGAGGTAGGAGGATCATCTGAGCCTGGGAGTTTGAGGCTGCAGTGAGCTGTGATTGTGCCACTGCACTCCAGTTTGGGTGACAGAGTGAGACATGTCTCAAAAACAAAACAAAACAAAACAACAAAAAACATGAGGACTTCCAATGACTAGCCCAAGGGCTTAGGACGCTCTACATGGTCAGTCTATGAATACTGTACTGCCATGAACTGATGGATACCCCAGGCCTGGGGTCAAGAACTGCAACAGGCAGAAGATTAAAAATGTCGAGCCATAATACCAGCACTTTGGGAGGCTGAGGCAGGTGGACTGCCTGAGCTCACAAGTTTGTGACCAGCCTGGGCAACACAGTGAAATCCTGTCTCTACTAAATTATTAAAAGAAAAAAAAAATTAGCCAGGCGTGGCGGCATGCACCTGTAGTCCCAGCTACTTAGGAGGATGAGGCAGGAGAATCACTTGAACCCAGGAGGTAGAGGTTGCAGTGAGCTGAGATTGTGCCACTGCACTCCAGCCTGGGCGACAGAGCGAGACTCCCTCTCAAAAAAAAAAAAAAAAAAAAAAAAAAACAGTCAAAGCACAAGTCAGACAACTGGCTTCCGAGAAGGAGCAGCAGCCTGAAAGAGAAAGCAGGAAAAACCCACAACAGACTGAAGCTTTGGGAAGGACCTAAATATCCAAACCAAGCCCTATACAAATAACTGTACTTACATGCAAAATTTCGCGGTATGAAAGCTAACACAAAAGATAATCAAATTCTTCCCAGACATTTCTCTAAAGATGTGGCCAGCAAGCCTCTGAAGAGACATCCAGCATTGTAAGTCTATCGGGAAATGCACCAACACCATACCCACTAAAAGAACCAGAATTTTTTTTTTGAAGGAAGGTCAGGCCGGGTGGCTCACGCCTGTAATCCCAGCACTTTGGAAGCCAGATGTGGGCAGATGGCTTGAGCCCAGGAGTTTGAGACCAGCCTGGGTAACAGGGCAAAATCCAGTCTCTACAAAAAACACAAAAACACAGCTGGACGTGGTGGCGTGTGCCTGTGGTCCTAGCTACGCCAGAGGCTGAGGTGGGAGGATCGCTTGAGCCTGGAAGGTCGAGGCTGCAGTGAGCTGAGATCATGCCACTGTACTCCAGCCTGGGCGATAGAGTGACACCCTGTCTTGAAAAAAAAAAAAAAAAAGGAAAATACCAAGCAGTTGACAAGGATGTGGAGAAACTTGAACCTGACACGTTGCTGGTGGGAACACAAAATGGTGCAGCTGCTATATAAAACAGCTGGCAGCTCCTCAACAGGTGAATCCCAGAATTACCATATGACCTGGAATTCTACTTTCAGGTACAGACCCAAAAGAAGTGACAACAGGTGTTCAAACAAAAACTTGTACACAACTGTTCATAGCAGTACTAGTCACAATAGCCAAAAGTGGAAACAACCCAACGTCATTCGTCTGAATGGGAAACAGAAGGCAATCCGTTCACACACGGAACACTATTCAGCCATTAAAAGGAGTGAAGCACTGATACACGCCGCCACATGGACGGACCTTGAAAACATTGTGCTAAGTCAAAGAAGCCAGACACAGAGGCCAGATTTTAAGATTCCATGTGCACAAACACACAGAAGGGGCAGCCTACAGAGATAGAAGGAGACCAGTGTCTCCAGGGGTTGGGAGAGGGGAATGGGAACCGTCAGCTTAATGGGTTCCCTTTTGGAGAGATGAAAGAGTTCTGGAACTCAGTGGTGACGGCTACATAACTTTGGGAATGGAAGGCACTTCATGCCACTGACTTGTGCACTTTAAAGGGATAAATTTTATGTTCTATGTATTTGACTATAATAAAAAAGATAAGCAGCATCATGTCTTCACAGTGGTAGAGTCTCTGGCAATACTTTGAAGATACACGTTCACGAAGAGCTATCCCATCCCTGTTGGATAAGGCAAATGCTCTTCCCTACAGTCCTTCCCTGCCAATCCTGAATGCACAGATTATAAACCCAGCACCAACTTTTCTTTTTTTGAGACATAGTCTCACACTTGTTGCCCAACCTGGAGTGCAATGTCATGATCTCGGTTCACCGCAACCTCCGCCTCCCGGGTTCAAGCGATTCTCCTGCCTCAGCCTCCTGAGTAGCTGGGATTACAGGCACGCCACCACATCCGGCCAATTTTTGTATTTTTAGTAGAGATGGGATTTCTCCATGTTGGTCAGGCTCATCTTGAACTCTTGGCCTCAGGTGATCCACCAGCCCTGGCCTCCCAGAATGCTGGGATTACAGGTGTGAGCCACCGCACCCGGCTCCCAGAAAGAACTTTCTTAAAATACTCTCAGGTTTCAAGATGAAGGCTACCAGTCTAGAAAGGAAACAATTATGGAGAGGGACAGCTTCACTGAGGTTCCACAGACAGACACTGTTGGCCGTGATGCCACTGGCTGGACACAACCCGTGCAGAGGGCAGTGCCTCTGTGAACAGAGGCTTTCCGATGGTGGCCAGGAGACCCCTCAGCATGAAGTGGGGATGGCTGCCGTCTATCAGGGCAGAGTTGCAAGGCCATCTTCTTAGAGCACATAGGCAGCTGTGAAGCCACCAAGTGCAAAGGAAAGTGAAATGCAACGCTGCCCTTCACCAGCAAAGCAAAGAGCTCGGGTTCTGGGATGCTCCTAGGATTCCCCCTGCAGCTCCCGAATGGCCTCTGTGCCACTGGCAGTCCCACAACACTGCAGATAAGATGCACTTGAACTTCTAGTTCTAGAGGTTCCCCTGTTCTCAGCTCTGCTCCACCCAAGCCCTTCCTCTCTCCCACTTCAGGTGTCAAGGCTCCACTCCTGTAGTTATCTGAGATGATCTTCAGAATCAACACACTGTGCCAACTCTGGGCTCCTTGGGTGTCTGAGAACTTTGGAACCAAGGCCAGGTATGTCTTCAGCTGCCAATGAAGGCTTACTTGATCTGGTTTTAATCAGTTTCCTATAGCTGTTACCTAGAAATGCTTGTATATTGCAGTCACTGCTCTGCGCGCTGTAGGTGGTCAGTCTACAAATATTCCTGAACGAATTCATGGGCAAATCCCCCATCCCCAGCAATCTCAGATGCAAACACGCTCAAACTTTTCTAAAACATTGCTCATCTTTCCAGCTTTTGCTCCACTATCACTCTAATTTTGGATTTCTGATTTCTAGTAGCAGAGAAAATGCATTACTTTTAAATCATCAGCATCTAAAATTCTCAAGGAAAGCTCATGGGAAGTGCTGTTACCAAGGAATATAATCCAGTCGCTTTAAAATGGCTATTACTAGTCTAGACAAGAAAACACACAAGATTCCATACATACACTGTCAACTTTGGCAAGAAAGATTTTAGACAACTTTCATCCTTCCCACCCAATCCCAAGTCAATAGGGCATTTGTTTGCGTTTCCATATTGGCTCCACGAACGAAAATACCTCCTCCACCTAGAAAAACAATCAGTAACATTCAGACACGGAACTTGGAGGGCAAACTTTTTAGTGCATGCACTTTTGTGTATTTTTTTTTTTTAAATAATGTAGAAAAGTATTTTTAATGACGTTTTCTCCTGAGCATTTCCCTCAAGTTTCCACGTATACCTGGTTTGGCCTTTCGCTACCTTTCAGAAACACAGATTTAAAAAAAAAAAAAAAAAGTTCTCCATTAAAACTGGAGCCAGAAAGAAACTTCTCCCTACAGATCTGAATGTTTTACTGTGTTTAGGGTGGAAAAAGTCACACACAGTCATTTTCCTTGACTCACTTTAAGTTTTCTGCTCTGCACCCACAAGGTTCTGGTAAAGAGTTAAAAGTTTTCTGAGGTTAGTTCCTGCGGTTGAGGAAAACAACAAGACACCAAACAACTAGATGCTTAAATTTAGACTCCGTAAAACAATACTGGGAAACTTTCAAAGACTTGGAGAAATACTGGGGTTTACTTTATTGTCTTTTGTTCAATTTCATCACGGGCCACATTTTCTCTTCTATTTTATTCCCTTCCGCCGCGCTGGGCTGGGCAGACCCTGCACAGCCCCGCGGGATTCCAGGACGTGCGGGCCCGGGTGGAACAGGTGGCTCCGCCCGCCGCGTCGGACCCGCACCCTCTCCCAGAGGCCGCATGGGGGTCCCGCGGCGCAAGGGGGTCCCGGGTTGGGAGACGGGCGGTAGGGACCGCGGAGACGCTCTGCGCCCAAGGCTGGGAAACCCGCCTCCACCCCTGCGCACCCAGGACAGCCCCAGACTCGGAACCCAGCGCGTTCCCTTCCGCGCCCCGACCCCGAGGTCCCCGAGGAGGCAGCGACGCCCCGAGGTCGGGGGTCCGGCAGCGGGTGGCCTCTGCTGCGGCGCCGGGCTCCCCCTGTCGGGGCGGAGAGCGCGCAAGGCAGGGTCCGGTGCCCCTCTCTGCCCGACCCGCCGGCGTCCCAGCCAGACTCCAGCGACGCCACCGCCGCCAGGACGCCGTCCCGTCGCTCCCGCCCTGCCCGGGGTCCTAGGGCGGCACTCACCTCGAGGGAGCCCCCTGCCCGGGGACTCAGGTGTCCACTCCGCCCGCGACCCGGAGCCCTCACGCCGCCTCCAGTCTGCCCGCGAGCCCTGCAGACTGTGCCGGGCCGTCCCGCCGCGCGCTCCACGGCACGCCGCGCGCGCCCGCCGCCGGGACTCGTGCTCCTTAGGCACGCACGGCTCGCGCCCGCGGCGCTTAAAGGGCCAGGCCCCGCCACGCTGGGGGTCCCCCCGGCCGCCTCCCAGGGGCCCTCGGTCAAGCTGTGAAGTTCGAGTTGGGGAATATCAGCGTGAAAATCTCCAACTTCATCCCCGAGCGATCCACGCGGAGAAAAGCAATAGGGATGTACGACGGAAGCTTGCAAAAAATGGAACATTAATTTAATTTTTCCTGAGACAGGGTCTTGCTCTGTCGCCCAGGCTAGATTGCACGTGGTGTGATCGCGGCTCACTGCATGCAACCTCCACCTCCCGAACTCAAGTGATCCTCCCATCTCAGTCTCCCGAGTAGCTGGTATCACAAGTGCACCGCCACCACACACAGCTAATTTTTAAATATTTTGTAGAGATTGGGGGAGGTCTCATTATATTGCCCAGGCTGGTCTCGAACTCCTGGGGTCAAGGTCAAGTGACCCTCTCACCTCAGCCTCCCAAAGTGCTAGGATTACAGGCCTAAGCCACTGCACGTGGCCTTTAATTTTTTCTTTTTTATTATCATCAGCTTTGAAAGGCTATTTTATACGTAATAACACTGATGCAATTTATTGCATTCCTGTACCCTCAGACACAGCATTTAACGTGCATACACTACATACATTATTTCATTTAATCCTTAAAATGGTTTTCTGGTTTCTTAGCCCCATTTTACAGAGGAGGAAAGCTGAGGTTCAGACAGTTGAAGAAAGTCATGGGAAAATTTTTGACCCCACAGCTCCTTGCATTTTCTTCTTCAGGTTATCACCATGGAAATATCTCCCAAGGTTAATAGCTGGTTGTGGAAGGCTTTTGTTAAGTTGGTGGAAGTTGATGGTACCAGGTTTAACTCGGTAGGCAGGGAGAAAGCAAGGGTTATGGGGTTGTATTAATTGTAGGGTTTTTTGTATACTCAAATGGCAAATGTTATAACAACCTAGATTCCCAGAATGTTTGTGTTGATTCCCATTTTATAGAAAACTAAGAACGGAAGTGGTTGCACGGGATGAATCACCCGCAGCATTCAGGGTTGAGCCCAATGCCTTTGTCCTGAGGTCATTTCTCTGCCCTTCCCAGAAAGAGATACCTGATGAAAGGGAAGAAAACTTTTCCTCTAATAACACATTGGCCTCACCTAACTCCCTGCATCTTTAATTAATGTTTACAAAGCACTTTAATCTACCCAACATGCTACTTAATTGGGTCAGTATTATTATCCTCTCCTGAACAAAATCCAGGAGACAGTCAACTCTGACAGCCCTTAATCCTCACTGAATAATGAACCTAAGCTTTCTGGTTATGTTCTTTTTTTTTTTCCCCTTCTTACATTTTTGTCCATGTTGTGTTAAATATGAATGCATGTATCATGAAGTGACAGAATAAATGGTAATATTAAACACCTATCTGTAGGAGGGAGATAATATAGCAGACACTGTCTTTAAGGAATTTCTTTTATTTTTTGAGACAGGTTCTTGTTCTGTTGCCCAGGCTAGAGTGCAGCGGCAAGACTGTAGCTCACGGCAGCCTCCAACTCCTGGGCTCAAGTGATTCTCCTGCCTCAGCCTCCCAAGCTGGGCCTACAGGCATGAACCACCATGCCTGGCTAATTTTTTATTTTATTTTTTGTAGAGACAGGGTCTCATTCTCACGGTAGTCTCAAACCTCCAGGCTCAAGCAATCCTCTCATCTGGGCTGCCCAAAGTGTTGGGTTAAAAGGCATGAGCCACTGCGCTCGGCCCTTTAAGGAATTCAGATCAAGGGAAAAAAAAAAATTTGATAAATGCTTCCCAGAATTATTTTTATTATTATCCTTCTTGCTTGGTTAAACTTTTACGGCATCTTTTCTTACAGGTGAAAAAGAAACGAGAAGGAAGATATTGAAGAATGATGGGATTAGAAAGGAAAAAGGGGAAAAGAAAAAGGCAGAAAAATAGGAGCAGGAAATAAACAAGGAAGAAAATGAGACTGAGAAGGCTTCAACCGACAGGCAGTTAGGGATGGAGGCTAGCCCCTGCTAGCACGTCCTAAGTCTTTGTGGGAATTACTATCAGGTGGCCCTCCTATAGGCTAGTGCAGGCCTGGCCAGGGAGCTAGCCCAGGCTGGCCTCCTGCCTTGAAGCTCCTGCCCCGATGCACCCGTGGCCTAGGCACCTTTGTGACAACTGAACACAAAAAGGGACCGAACAGTGAGAAAGGACACTGAAGCCAGGTCAGAGGAGAAGAAATGGTTACAGAGGGAATTTAAATACGGTTATTTGGCTGGGCGCCGTGGCTCACGCCTGTAATCCCATCACTTTGGGAGGCTGAGGCAAGCAGATCATCTGAGATCAGGAGTTTGAGACCAGCCTGGCCAATATGGCAAAACCCCATCTTTACTAAAAATGCAAACATTAGCTGAACGTGGTGGGCATGCCTGTAATTTCAACCACTTGGGAGGCTGAGCTAGGAGAGTTGCTTGAACCCAGGAATTGTAGGTTGCTGTGAGTCGAGATTGTGCCACTGCACTCTAGCCTGGGTAACAGGGTCTGTCTCAAAAAAACTGAAAAAAGATAGTTATTTATGAAAGTACTTAGATAATGTCCAAAGGAAAATAAATGAACAAAGAAATATCTAGAGGGTCTTTGTATTGTTACAGTTTTAAAACCTAGGAAATTAAAAAAATTTCACTGTAAAGTCACTTGACTTCTTCATAAATGTTTTCTGAGGCTGGTCTTTGCTAAGAAAACCCTGATAACACATGACCCCCAAATATTAAATAAATATTAATGAAATTTATATAACTTAAAAATTTTTAAATAAGCTATGTATTTTTATGTTATAAAGGAAGTATATTACTGTATAAAATTGACTTCAGAAACTGTAATATATGTCATGACCACTAGAGGGAGGCAGACAGGAAAGGAGAAAGAAAGTAAGAAAATTTCATAACTTTTCTTTACTAAAAAAACAACAGCAGTTTGGATCTGACAGGGGATATGTAAAAGACATGATTTATTACCTTAAACTGTTTATCTTTTTTGAGCTTCAGTTCCTCATCTGTATAACAAGGCCGTTAACACCTACCCTATAAGGCTAAAAGTATTTTAAAGTGTATCTAAACAAATTGAACAAATAATAGGTGAGAAAAGTTAACAAAATTAGAAAAAGAAAGAAAAATATAGGAAATTGACCTATTTATTATTGAAACCTAGTCTACGGCTATACTGATGAAACGTATCAGAATGGAACAATATAACCCAGGAAAAGGTAGTGTAGACTTTCATATGTGATAAAAGGGTCATCAAAAATAAATGAAAAAGAGATGGGATGTCAGTAAGTGGAGGTAAGAAACATAGTAATTTGAAAAGATAATCAAGTTAAGCCCTTACATGTCATTATATGCTGAAAGATGTTACAGCTACATTAAATAATTTTAGGGTCCAGTGTGGTGTCTCATGCCTGTAATCCCAGCACTTTGGCAGTCTGAGGCAGGAGGATTGCTTGAGCCCAGGAGTTCGAGACGAGCTTGAGCAACATAATGAGACCTTTCTGTCTCGACAAAAAAAAAAATACAAAAATTAACCAGGTATGGTAGTGCACGCGCGTAGTCCCAGCAGCTCAGAAGGCTGAGGTGGGAGGATCACCTGAGCCTGGGGGTGACGTCCAGGCTGCAGTGAGCTGTGATCGTGCCACTGCTCTCCAGGTTGGGGGCAGAGAGACCCTGTGTCAAAAAGACAAAAAATAAAATTTAAAATTAAGGGAAAATTTAGGTAAATATTTATGTGATCTCAAGGTGGGGAAAGAAAAGAAATGGTCAAGAAGGAAATGACCATTAGACTAAATTGCATAAAATTTAAAAAATTCTGGTAACTAAAAATATTGCAAACAGAAGCCTAAAAGACAAAAAAAAAAAATTGGAAACTACAAACCTCTGCATAACAAATCCAAGAGTTAATTGTATCTTTAGGACTACACACAAATTGATAAGAAAACCCTAAAAATTCTGTGGGAAAATTTCCTCAAAGAGAAAATTAAAGTGCTTAGTAATTAGCTATGTGTATATCTGTGTGTGTGTTATTATATTTTAAAGTGTTTAGACTAACTTGTAATTTCAAAAATAAAAATGTTAAATAATATACAATATTTTCACCTAAAAATTAGAAAATATAATTTAGATTCTAATATTTAATGCTGGCAGGAGTGCAAAGAAATGGGCAATTTTATTTATTTATTTATTTATTTAGCAATGGAGTCTTGCTGTGTTGCCCAGGCTGGAGTGCAGTAGCACCATCTCAGTTCACTGCAACCTCCACCTCCCTGGTTCAAGCGATTCTCCTGTCTCAGCCTCTCAAGTAATTGGGACTACAGATGCGCACCATCATGCCCGGCTAATTGTTTCTATTTTTAGTAGAGACGAGGGTTTCACCCTGTTGGCCAGGCTGGTCTTGAACTCCTGATCTCAAGTGGTCTACCATCTTGGCCTCCCTAAGTGCTAGGATTGCAGGTGTGAGACACCGTGCCTGGCCAATGGATAATTTAAAATACAATTAGTGGGAACATAAGTTGATGTAACTTTACTGAAAAGCAATTTTGTAAAATATTTAAAGACCTGTAAACCTTTATATGTTTTGACCCTGTAGTTCCATATTTAGGGCTTCAATGGAAATAATGAGAAATAATCACAAAGATTTATGCATGAAGATATATATAATCTAATCATATATACAATCTCATCACATATACATGATCCCAACATATATAATCCCATCACATAATTCTATCATACACAACCTAATCATATACAATCCGATCGAATATAACCCAATCATATGTGACCCCATCACATATAATCCCATCATATATAATCTAATCTTAAATAATCTGATCATATATAATCTCATCACATATAATCCCATCATATAAGATCTCATCATACATAATCCCATCATATATGACCCCATC